CTGCTGAAGAGAACCCCCAGCCATAAGCACAAATAATAGTTTGGATTTATTTATTGATATGTGTAAGTCAGATTCCACTCAATAGAAGCTCTATTTCCCCTCTATAAGCATAAGACTCTAAGCTGAAGAGAGGTAGAGGTGGTCAAAGGCAAGTACGTTATGTCCTTACAGTAGCACATTTGACTTAGTTATCTTGATTAGTCTTACTTTGCATTGCTTACTACTGCTTTTTCTGTATAGATGCAGTATATTTGTGTGGTATGTTTCTCTTAATACTCTCTTTTTGAGGTGTTACAGTAAAAACAAAAGTCAGTTTTGAGATCTTAGCACAAGACAACACAGAGATTAGGCTCATGCTGTTAAACAAGGTAGCTGGTGACAATGCTCTGTTCTTAATGGGAAACTATTCTGTTTCAGGGTATTTATGTTTTGGACTTCTTTTGGAATGAAGCCTGGTACTTGAAAACCATTGATATCTGCCATGATCATTTTGGATGGTACTTGGGTTGGGGAGACTGTGTTTGGTTGCCTTACCTCTACACTTTGCAGGTAAAAATGTGGCACAACACGTGTTCGGGCTAAAGGGAAAGACACTTTATAGAAACCTTCTCCCCTGCAGTTTGATGTGTATCTTAAATTGTTCCTAGATAGTCTGAATACTGAGTAACCTTTACAACATCCTTTGTAACAATTCATTTGTAGGAAGGCTTACTGTCTGTCCACGGAATTGACATCTTTTCCTCTCCTCTCCTTCTTTTGTGCCTTTTTCTGTCACTGTCTATTGCATCTGTATATTTTTCTAAATACTTTGTCCCTTTTTGTACTCCAGCCATGTTGAGGATTTTTTGGTGGGTGATGGCTTGTTTCGTGTGGTTTTGTTTTCTTTTCCTTCTGCCCTGATTTGTCTGCATCCTTGCAACTTGCCCTCTTTTTGTTTCCCCTAAGAAATGTAATTTTGGAGAGAGAGACAGATAGAAAACATGTAGGATACAGAGCTTTGTGAAAATTTCCCAGTTTTACTTGTAGGGTAGATTTTTCTGTTGTTTCTACTCATCTGTTCTGGGTCATTGTAGGTCAAGAAGTCAGCCTGGCACTCTGAGCATATATTTAAATCACTGCTTGTTTCTTTCTGCAGGGTTTGTATTTGGTGTACCACCCTGTCCACCTGTGCACGGCTAATGCTGTAGGGGTCTTGATGTTGGGCTTGATTGGCTATTACATCTTCAGAACCACCAACCACCAGAAGGACCTTTTCCGTCGCACGAATGGGAATTGCAAGATCTGGGGCAAGAAGCCTGAGTATATCGAGTGCTCCTACACGTCGGGGGATGGCACCAAGTACCACAGCAAACTGATGACCTCGGGGTTCTGGGGGTGGGCACGCCACTTCAACTACACGGGAGATTTGATGGGCTCCCTGGCCTATTGCCTGGCTTGTGGGTTTGAGCACATCTTGCCTTATTTCTACATCATTTATATGACCATTCTGCTCACCCACCGCTGCCTTCGGGATGAGCACCGGTGTTCCAGCAAGTATGGGAAGGACTGGAAGCGCTACACTGCTGCTGTGCCTTCCCGCCTCCTCCCGGGGGTGTTTTAAGGCTAACACAGAATTCCAAGGGGAAGAAGAAAAAAAAAAAAAACTTTTGGTTTTTGGAGGTGAAGAGAGTTTATCCCCATTGCTAAACTATCCACATGAAGGACGCTCGTGCTGTTCTGAAGGAAAAAAGGTGGCTGGGTGAAAGTCCTTGATGTACTGAAGGAACACGCATGCAGACTGAAGTGATTTAATGAAGCACTGGAATGTCCTTATTTTTTAGATTCTTTTATCTAGGCTTTTTATTTTCCCCCCTACCCTCTCAAACTGAACTAGGAATTTAAAAAAAGTTGCATATATTGAGACTCCTGAGATCTCCCAAAGCTGGAAGGAAGCTGTCTCTGTTTCGGAGTACCACAGTTCTGGAAGCAGTTTCCAGTAACTTAGGAGAGGAGGGAAATAGATGTGTGATCTGTTTATAAAAGCAAGGTGTGGTTGCTTGTGACAGGCATAACCTACAGTCAGTAACTCCCCAAAGGAGGTTTTATTGTTTGTTGCTTCTCAGGAGCTTAACTGGGGAAATACTGGACTGGGAACCTGACCCCACACTGGTGTGTGGGCAGATTGTTATAATCTGATACAAATGTTTATGAAAGTTGATGTAAATTAGTATAGCTCAAAAGTTACATTGGTTTACAGCACCTGACAATATGGTATATGACCAAGTAGTATTATTTTGATACTGAAACCAAACCTGCATTGGGAAGATACTGAGCATATCTTGATTTTTTTTCACTGTGGATAGAAAGCTTGGTTTTATATTATTTGTATAAAATTGTGTTTGTAAAAACTTAAGAAATAAATTCTTGCTTTCAAGACCAGTAAAACATGCTGCTAGCTTTCCTTTCAGCTATTTCTTTTCTTGCTACATAGTTCTCTTTCAAAGTTACTGGATTCAAAAGGAGCTCTTCCAAGAGTACAATTCCAAGAGCTGGTTCAAGAATGCATGAAGGAGAAACAATTAAAAAGAAAGGGGGATCATATTATCAACCACGTCTTTTAACAAGCTTGGTAGTTTTGTTCAAGCTAAAGGACTTTTTTTAATTTTCACACATAAATTTACAGTTAGGTTTTACAGTAAGTATATAACTAAATAGGTTTGTTGTGGTTTTTTTTGTAGGAGCTGCCAAACACACTGATTTTCCTGGCAGATATGAATGAGGTGTGTTGCTGAGTATGTGTTTTGGTTTTGTCGCACTAATCACTGAAAGGATGGCTTTGGCAGGAGAAAAGGGTTTCTCCAAACCTAGAAAACAGATGTATTTTGTAGACTGGCTTTGTTTTAGAGCTGGATGTACAAGCATGTCTAGAGATGCCTCCGTAGAGGAAGCTCTTATAAACCTACTTGTAGCATCAGTACTATCTGCAGACCTCATAACTGTTCTAAACACCATTTTGCAGGTAACGATTTCAGTACATTATAGTGCTGTTAGTAACAGGACGAATGATGGCTGTGATAATAGCATGCTCACTGGCAGCTGTTGCTGTGGTAAAACATTTGAACTTGGCACTCCTGTGAATGAAGAGGACTTTTAATATGCATACTGAAATGGGGGTGGGTAGGGGGAAAATCAAAGCCTATTGTTGCCTTACATAGCCCAATACCTTAAAAGTTCTACAAGGGGCAATGCTTATAAAATGGCTGATTTGAAATAACTCAATCCAGAGAAAGGGAAGGCTGAGGTGTGGACTTCTAGGAATGTGTCATCAGTTCCTTGCACTGCATTGCTTTAGGCTGCCCCTGACTTCTCTGGGGTAATTGGATTTTTTTTCCAGCTTCCCTAAGGCTCCATGCTTGCAGCTTTTCCGTACTTGCAGCCTTTTGTAGCCTTGGAAATGGCACTGACAACTTGCTTTTAGTGCCAAGGCTTTTTAAACACTGGAAGATAATCTGGACTCTAAATCATGGTAGCCTTGCATGGCACAGTACACTCCCTTCAGAGATAAATCCTGGATGATTAGTGGAAGAAATTGCCCAATTAAGACCAATAAAAATATCAGCACTTCAAAAATAAAATTGAGGAAATTTCTAGCAAAAGGGCAATAATGAGTGTCATGCTTCTCCTAAGCAATTTCTGTTAAATCCAATATTGCTCAAAGGACTTTCTGTACTGCTTGACAGTTGGAGCATAGAGGCACTTTTCCTGAAGCAGACTGCTGCTCCTGCTGAGGATGCTGTACCCTGCAGATAGCCCAGCTACCTCAAGTGAAAAGTCCTCATTGGTCACATTGTTACAAATGTGGTAGGAAGCAATTAGTTGCAAGGTTTTTCAAGCAAGAGGTCGTCACTGAGCTAATCTCACATCCTGTTTATTGTAAGGATACAGATTTTGCTTCCTCAGGCTTGCCTGCTGTCCATACAGATATTCATTTTTGTGTCATCTGTGTGGCCTATAGACTGAGTAATTATATGATAAATACATACAGAGGTCTGCATCTGGCTGGAAAAGGAAGTGTTCATTCCATTCAGCCTTGTATTTCTTACTAAAAAAAATTGTTTTTGGAGAGCACAAAGTCCCATTTCTTATCTATTCTAACAACCAATGTGTAAGCAGTACTTAAAGAAACATGATCACTTAAAAGGCCATCAACTTGCTCATGTTCAGATAGGGTGATGTCTGGGTCACATTTTGTGTTGGATGCCTGGCAGTGCTGTTTAAATTTGTTTCCTCCAGAATGCAAAAAACCCCCAAACCAATATATATGTAACTTTGAAGGTTTTGTGGGCAGTGTATACTAGATTAACTTTTGCCCTGATATTTCATATTTATGGATACTGTGCTGTCAATATCACCTATCAAGCTTTGAGAGTGTAGTATGGTGGGAATTTCAAATATGGAAATGCCAATATTTGTATTTAAATTGGCTTATAACTAATGGGAAAATACAGCAAAAGCTTCTGGTAGTTACTTGGAGCACTAATGGAATAGTTTGGTTGGATTGTTGTGGGAAGAAAAGTAACAAATGCCAACTTAAGCAGGGCACAACAGGCTAAACAAGTTCCAGATCACCACAGATCTACCTAAGGGGAAACAAGAAAACAAAGAAAAAAAACCCAAGGACCAACCCACAATCTTCTAGTGTATAACTGTTATAAACTGTCAGTGCTCCATCTACAGCTGGACGGGAGTGCAGAGAGGGCAATTTGGAATACCTACAGGGCAGAAGGGAGGGAAGGAGAATGCCTGCTGAGATGTGAAACCCGTGTCACTAGAGGGCATCACGAAGCGGTGACATTTCTGAGACCGGGACTCTGCCTGTCAGCACAAAAGGATCAATCGTTTGTAACTCGATGCAAAACTACGGTTCAGTTTATTCCCACACAGCCTGCAAGACTGCTGATAGAATCCAAGGGTGCATTATAGCACACACCACACACTTAGGCTTTAAGCATGTTCAGAAATATGTAAACTCCCTTTTAAAAACTTGTACCTCTGAGCAACTCACTGACTAATCCAAAGGGCTGTGTCTAGGATTTAGGGAAATGTGGTTGCTCAGTTCCAGTTTTGTTCAGACAATAGGAACGACAACAGACGTTCAGGCTGTTGCCGCAGGGTGGCAGCCACCAAGTATTTTCTCCTCTAAATTACCAGTCTAAGTTCTGATAATGTGCTGACCTTAACCTAGAACTGCACTGGGTTATTTGGTTATTTTAAATAATGCACAGTCTTCATTGAAGGTTAAAAGTGATGTGCAGTTGAAAATAAAACTGGAACGGTTTTTCTGGTTGTATTCATACAAGAAAACAAAGCCTAAATGTGCCAAATCAAAACTTTTTAAAATTACTTTTTAGATTACAGATATGGATCTACTTTACAGCAACTGAACAGGTAATGAAACTACTATTTTTAATTTTTTTTTTAATCTTAGCTATATTCATGGAAAATTAAAGAGTCATATAATTTCTGCCTTGTCTTTTTTTTTTTAATGTATTACAGATGTATGTTTCCTGAAATGTGGAAGGTTAAGTTAGCAGCTGAACAAAACTTGTCAATTGTGACTATACAAATGTTTAGTCCCCTTGTTATTGGGTGTTAGGAGTGCTTGGGGAATGTTTAAGGCAGGCACAGTGGTTAGTGAGAAGAGAGTGGTTCTGGTTTTTCTGCTTCTGTTGCAGTGGAGAGAGAGACCTGCTTTCTGGACAACCAACTGACAGTTTTCATTACACTCTCACTCTTAAACTTCCCTTAACAGTCATGGTATTAATTCAGATTTATCTAGTATGGAAAGGGCTTCAATTCTATGACTATTGAAATACTGAAGGAATAAAATCACAATAGTTTCTTCTTCCTTTCATCTTAAGCTTTGTACTTATATTAGCTAATTTTCCTGTTAATTATCTCCTTTTGGAAAATTATGCTTTAGGGCCTATAAATCCAAAATATTTTCAGCTTGGTTACATGAATGAATTCATAAATTAAGTTTCTCTTGAGAGAGAAACCTCTTTGCAAACAGAAAAAATGTACTGGTGGAGAAGATCATATTGAACTGTTCACTATCTACTGTGGGTGGTGCTACAAGATTAATCACTTATAAGGAAAAATGGGATATTCTTGCCAGCTTTTCATTTGTGCTGAAAAATGAATATATCAAGCAAATCACTATCATAAACTCCTAAAATATCTTGAAATGTGCCCATTCTTCTTTCTTAAGGCAGTAATAAGTAACCATCTTGGTGTCTGGGTAGTATATTGCATGCAATGTTTGGCTTTTCAGCCGGCAATGTAGTTACCACTGAGGATCACTTAGGGGCGGGCTTTCTCTATTACATTGCAGGTATCATAGATACCATAAAGGTGGTACTTGCCTTGCTGTTAATTTCTCTGATTTCACTTCAGTTTTAAGACCAGTAAATACTTCTGTTTTTTTCCTCCTAGAGTTGCTTCTGCTTAGCATAGTCTCTCCTTTTAGTTGTTTAGATGTGTCAGTGCTTCCAGCACAGCTGGGTAGGCTTAGAGTCTAGCATTTCAAAACATGTATGTATTTCTATCCCCTAGAGTTAAACCATCATCAGTTCTACTGTGTAGCTCCTTACTTTGGATTAACAGTTTCTTGGATGAACAACGACGAAACTGTGTGTCTTCTGTTGCTTAGTATCATCTGCAGAGGAATTTAATGAGGCTGAATTGACTGATTGCTCCTACACTGGCTCTATGCTCTTTGTAGCTGGTGAGGTGAGTGAAGTGATGCCCTGAGGTGGTGTGCCAAAGTCCTGCAGTTCAAACATAAACAACAGCTATAGGAAATGCAGACTATGCACACACTCTCATGTTTACCCTATTTGTGTAAGACCTGGTATGGTTAGCTCCAAGGAAGTTAGGTTGCTCTGAAGTAAAACTCATGCATTCTCAAAGAGCTGTCCTGTCCTCAGGCCAGCAGTTTTTAGTTTGAAAATAAAATAAAATAAATAAATATATATATATACAAGTACCTACAGGATCATGTTTCTAATTCAACTTACAGTCTTGAGAGTCTAAAAATGAAGAGGAAGGAAAAAGTGTGTTCCAGTTGTGCTGATTGGCATTGTGTGGACATAAGTTTCATGGTTCTGGGATTATATGAGTCTCTTCAGGCAACATTGTCCCTGTTTGCTATCTGAGGAGAGCACAGGAAAGAAATTGCTTTGTCCCACTCAATTCTCTTGCTTTCTAGCTGAAGACAATCATCAGATCAAGACTTTTATAACCATCCATTCTCCTAAATGATGGTTTTATTAGTTGAAATTCAGCACTATGATAGGTGCTGAGCTTTTGTTTATGAAACTGGGAAAGCTGCATGCACAAGCCGGTAGTCAACATGTCTAGTTTTCTTGAGTGCTTTTACTGTTTGTGTTTCTTTTTTCTTACATGTTGAGAGCCACTGAGTGTGTCCAGCTTTTTATGTGCCCTACAGGCAACAGCTTAATCAAAACTAGTAATTTTGTTTGGTGCTCTTTTTTACATTAGATGAAGAGAGAATTACATGCCAAACATTTTGAGAATAGAATAAATGTATTTAAACTTCATGAATAAACATCTCCAAGCTATACTTCTCTTGGGGGTATCACATCCTGATTTTTGTCTAAGTTTGAAACCTTTCCTGAAAAGAAATCTGGCTGTGAGTCAGATGCACAGGCAATCTGTACATTCCCTTGTAGCTGGTAGTTCTGTTGGGAGTGGTGATGCAGAACCCTTGGCCAATGTTCATGGACTTGTTTTGCCTCTGAGAACTTGCAAACTGAAGTACAGCAGTTGTCTCAAACCTCAGTGCCTCTGCACCACCTCTGGCTATGACTGGCTGTGCACAAATCTTACAGAAAAGGAATTTGGATCATTCTAAGCAAACATACAATTCATTTTATTCAAATTTCACAGGCACGTTTGATGGCTTTATTTTAGTGGTGTAAAAGGAGGTGGAATTACAATGCTCCTTCTGTTGGCAGGTCTGTGATGTTATTCCTGTGGCTTCATAAAAACTCCTTGTACAGGAGAATTGGAGGAAGATTTTTAGGAGTGATACCATAAGGAAGTAGCTTCCAGAATTAAACAGAATGGTCTCTGTGCCCTCTGACTTTTTCTTCAGCAAAACATACCCTTATTTGCAAAATCTTACACTGCTTCAGAAATAAAGCAAAATGTAAAATGCATAATATGATGTTTTATCATAATAATATTATGCTATTTAAATTGCAAAATTCATATAATTTGATCTGATTTAATGGCATTGGCTTATACTTGCTTCTTTGTCATTTATCCAGTGAGGTGAATGCAAGATGTTATTTAAAAGCTGCTAAACACCTAAGTATCTCTACCATTATCTAATCAAAATTACACTAATCATGGGCATGGGCACTTGTGAAAGGCTGTTTGGGAGAGAGAATTACTGTTTTAGGACTGTGAGGACAATACAGTTAATCTAAGTCTCTTAAGGATTGTGAAGGAGTAGAAGTTGTTCTTACACAAGCAAACAGTAAATTTCAAAATAAAAAAAGACTTAATAATCTAGTCAGTTTTTCTCTTCACATTATTCTGGGCACTTGTGAAACCCTGCCACTGTTACTGTTTCTGTGTGAGGTCTGACAAGCCTAAGGGCTGTAAAGTGATGAAGCTTCCTTTTACTTTTTGCAACTGACCAAATAAAAAGAAAAAAAAAAAAGTACACAAACAACAAACCACATGTAATTCACTTTTTTTTTCTGAAATTTTCTCTTTTCATTTAAATTTGCATGCCTAAGAGAAACTTGGTGGCTGGGAAGCTTACCAACAGGGTAGAACTTCTTGAAGAACTTGATGAAGAACCATCCCTTCTCCAAGGCAGCAACACTGAGCTTAAAATACCCATGATGTGCCAGGCCAGGCGTCCTTTTACCAGACCAGAGATCCCTGTTCACAGCCCCCCAAACCTCTTCAGATCTCCAGTGGTTGGTGCTGCACTGAGCAGGAGATTTTCCATCAGTCAAAGAGGAAGGAAGGAACCAAGGGCATCTTCCCGCTGATGCCAGCTCACGATGTTACCCAAGCTCTCTCCAGATAACTGGTAACAGCTCCTTTTGGCTGTTTGCTGTGGGCTGAAGGAGTTGTTTTTGGCTGAGTTGCCAGGGGGTTTGGACTCGATTGTCTCCAGAGGCCCTTTCCAACCTCCTCCAGTCTGTGATCCTAAGGATGAGTCTTCCTTTCCCCCCCTCCTTAGAAATAGTTTCAGGTAATTACAAAGACATGTCGAATGGATGCTATTAAAGTTGCAACATCAAACCCTGAGCATCATCCACCCCTGCAGAGGGTGGGTGTATGGTTACTGTAGTAACTGTGGCTGTGTCCTGCTGTCCCCTGCTCTCCTGCCCTGCCCTATCCAGGCACAGCACTTTTTCTGGGGGGTGTGCATGGGATCAGGATCATTCTTGGGGTGACTTTTCACACTGCCACGTTTGCTTACAACATCATCGAGGTGCCAAAATGTCCCCAGCCTTTGCCAGGACTGGAAACGCCTTCTCGTGGTTTCCTACCGACTCCGTCGCCCTTTGAACTCCTCTCGGCTCCTCCAGCGGTGCGAGGCGGGAAGGGCGGGAGAGGTGACAACAACAAGGCCTGTCACCGTCCAGCAGAACCTGTCGGCTGCTGCCCGGGGCACGGCGCCCTCGGCTTTGCTCCAGGAGAGAAGCAGCTCGTCCTTGACCCCGGGGGAGGGCCGGGCGTTGCTCCCACCTTGTGCCGAAGGGAAGGAGGAGGTTCAGGCCGCGCTGAAGAAAACCAGGAACCGTTGATCCGCTTGGGCGAGCTGAGGGGGCTCTGGGGCAGCTTTCCCAGCCCTGTCTGCCCCGCCGGGCTCCTCCGGCCCCGGCTC